AATATGTGAGAGAATTTGGTTAAAAAGAGTTCTAATAGAAATGAAATTCTTGGTTACTACTCCAATGAAAGTATGGTGCGACAATAAAGTAACAATCAGCATAGTTAAAAATCATGTATATCATGATCGAACTAAACACGTTGAAATAGATAGGCACTTCATCAGGGAGAAGATTGAAGATCAAACCATTACAATATTTCACGTTCTTACTAATCAGCAAATTGCAGATATTTTAACAAAAACACTTCCCAAAGGACTCTTCAACGAATTAATATCCAATTTAGGCTTACTAAACATTTATGTAACCTAGATTGAAGGGGAGTGTAGAATTATTTTCAGTATTTTCTTTTTTCTGTTTTTTACAATCTGGCAATATAACAAAATGGTTACTATCAGGTTGTGCCTTTTTTCCCTTCCACTAGGAAGTTTGTTAGTTTTTTTTCTTTTTCCTCATTCCTTTGCCTATAAAATGTTGCTGATTATCGATGAATAAAAGTAGAGAAAAAAGGGGAGTTATTTCTTATTCTCAAATTCTTCAGATTGTATTTAGAGCCTATCTAAAGACTAAACCAGACAAGATTGAATTATGAATTATTTGCTAGGTGTTTTATTCTCTGTTCTATCTTTCTTCTGTCCCTTCTGTTCTTGTCCTTAAACCTGTTTCCTCTGAGTTGCTTTCTGTTCTTCAGGTTTTCCTGCCAAACGTTTCTGTAATTTATCTTATCCTACATCATTTAGGATCAACTCCTAGGTTGTCCCTCATCAATCTTCTATTCTCTTAATTTTCTAATAGACTTACCTTAGCAACATCTTTGTCAAAATTAATGCATTTTTCTATTGTCCTTTTCTCTCGAGGTGGATGAGTTCTACTGATGATTTATTTCTAATGCTCTGCCTTTGGTGTATGATGACAGTTACCTGCCAGAGAGGAAGATTCTTGACGGAGTATCTTTTGTTGTACCAGCAGGAAAGAGTGTGGCTATTGTTGGGACCAGTGGCAGTGGTAAGGCTTTGTCATGGTTGGATTATTTACTTTCACTGGTTTGCTGCAGCTGTGCTAAATCCCTTTTCATATTGGAAATAGTAATTGCTCATTGTGGAAAATCTTTATTTACTATTTTTTTCCTTTCATATTCCCTTTTTTCTTACTCATACTTGTGTTCCTTCGTATGAATGTGAAAATATGCAGATAATATGAAGTAAATGTTTTTTGTGACAACCTGCAAAAAAAGTTATTTTTTCTGACCTCTTGAGAAAAGCCAGTTTACATGCACAACCCCAAGATGAATCACAGGCTATATTCATGTGAATTTCCTGTCTTAAAAATGTTCTTGGTGTATGGTTTGTTATTCCTCAGAGCAAGGTGCAAAAATATCTTTCTCATATGTCTTAATTTAACTAATTCTTTTAGAAGAGTGTTTTCTTATCAATTCACGCACAAAATTCAGAAGGAGCATATCATAAGAAGTTTTCCTGGTCAGTTCAATAAAATCATGGAAAACATTTCAGTTATGTCTATTATCCACTTGAAAATTTTGTCTAAATTTTACAGATTATAATGCATTATCTTGGACGAGTACCTTTTATTTTTCAAGGGATCAGGTCTTGTATTTATAGGTGTTCATTTAGTCTAAATAGTTATCATAGTGGATAGGTTTGAATTGTATATTGGGACATATGTACTAAAGTGGTTTCTTTAATATAAGCTCAAGTTTTTGGATAATTGGTCATTTAGCTCAATTATCCCATTTTGCATAGAACAAATGTTCAAGAACTTGATTTTGATTGCATTATTTCTGTCAGAATAAATTGTTTAGTGGTGTCTAATCCTTTATTCATACTTTTACTAGTCTAATTAGTTTATGCACAATAAAGAATGTTTGACTACAAAAATAAAGTTGTCTTTTTCGGAATTAGGATTGTGAAATCCCAGTCAAACTCCGACACATAAAATTTGTTTAGCCTTATTTGTGGAGGAAATACACATTAATCTTGAAATTATGTTCTATAATCTAACTTTTGAAGAAGAAAACAACCAGGATTTGTCACTCTAATCTTTATAACAAAATCTCCTTATCTCCAAGTTTTATAGAGAAAAAATTGTCTTTGCCTTGAGGTTTGCGCTTTTGCTTTTCCTTGGCTCACTAGACCTTAACCATGCCTCTTCTATCACCAAAGTAGTTCTTGGGGATAGAAAGAAAATCTTTTGATGTTGGTTTGGAGGGAGAAGGTGGAGGCTATCCTCTGAATAATTTAGAACAAAGCTAAGAAAAAGGTTCTTTTTATGTATTTAGCTTGGAAATTAGATGGATTTTGAAGCCTTAAGTCTTTCTGGTTAAGGGACCATAAGACTTGGTTTGGAACTCGTAAGAGTAAGGATATGGTTCTTTTTTCTTTCAATTTGATTGAAATGAACCAGTAGGGGGTGTTATCTGGAATTTAGGAGACGAATGCAGATGGCACAAGGAAGCTGATGGTCCTTGCAGGTATTGAAGCAGAGAGCTATTGGCGGTTGTTGCTGGCAATTTATAAGGGCCTATGAGCTGAGTTTGCAGGAGGAGAAGGGGAAAGCACTTGAGGAACTATGCTGGTCGGAGGATGAGGAAGCAAGGTAGAGGAACCACCATTACAAGAAGCGAAAGATTAATACCAAAGAGTTTGGGGAGTTGGTCAATGGGTTAAAGCTCATTGATCTCCCCGTTGTGGGGGCCAATATATGTGGTCTTATTTAAGACAGGATGCTTGCTTGTCCCCCTTTCATTGCTTTTTGGTGTCACCAGATTTTGAAGAATGGATGTCTGATATGATCCAAAATCTATTGCCTATGGATCACATTTGATAATGATCCTTTTTGTCTTGACCTAAAAGTTATTAGATGGGGTCCACTTCCCTAGAGATTTGAGAATAAGTCGCTGTGATGGTTATAGGTGATGGGAGGAGAAGAAAATGGAGGTCTTTGCTAGTTTCAGAGTTGTTAATAAGCTTTCCTTTGTTGAAACCAAGATCAAAGCTTGGAGCTTTATCTTCAAAATGGGATTGCAGTCAGGAAGGAGTTGACAGATTGACATTTTGGGTAAAAGAAAGACGGAGGCTAGGTTGACAGTTGGGGAAAGACAATGACACCAATTGGCTAAGTTGAGTTGGCTGATTGGATGCTTATAGAGCAGGTGGCTTGGAGGCAAACATTGGGGGTTATTGCGGATTACAAAAGGTGACTGCAATACTAAATTCTTCTGTCGGATGGACAACTTCCATCATGGAAAAAATTCTATGTCCACCATCAATGTTTTAATGGGATCCGAGTTCATGGTTGATAATAGGCTGAATAGGCAGTTGAAGGGTTCTATTACAGGCTTTATATGAAACCTAAATCTTGGAAATCCGAGTTTGGCGGTATTAGTTTGGCAGTATTAGTTCTTGAAACCTGAGGTCTTCAATTTATTATTATAACAAAGGGTGCTTTCCACAAACAAAAGATCAACCATGAACTAATACTGCCAAACTTGGGTTTCTACAAGATAGATTTCATGAACTAATACATAGCTAATAGCCTTCCAATTTATTGTTATCTTTGTTCTGTAAATATTTTGTTTTTGGAAGGCACCCTTTTGGTGCCTTCTAATAATATTTCCTTCGTAATCTAAAAAAATTGTCTTCTCTCTTGAGAATTTGGAATAAATGACCACTCAATTGAATCATTTCGTAATTTGTTACCCTGTAAGTATCCTTCAGTTTTCAATTTTTGTGGGCTTTTTCTTTTTTTTTTCAAGACTTCTCTCTCATACATGACTTCAGAAAAATTATCTCTTTTGATTTTATTTGTATCTTGGGCTGATTTTCATGTATGGATATTTGACCTACTCATGAAATGAATAAGATTGCTTGGAAATGACTATTTATATGTGTAGAACAAAAACTAAGGGCCCCATCTTTTCATATCTTCAAAGTTGAAAATATTTAATACAAACTTACCCTGGCCAACCTTTTGAGGAAGTGCTTTTGGGGTTGCTTATGTTGCTTATATGTTGCCCAGTCTTTTAGGATTGGTGAATGCTTTGTGTTCAATCTCCTTGCGGTACTATTAATTTCTAAGTTCATGTGTTTACAGGAAAGTCAACCATCCTTAGATTGCTCTTCAGATTTTTTGATGTTCATTCTGGAAGTGTAAGAACTAGTAATTTCTTCATTTCTACATATTTATGCGCAGCTTATAAGATAGTTGATTTAGAAGCAAATATTTACATCTATTTTCTTGTCTTTCTATATGTAAAATTAACTCTATATTTGGAATAAATCTAAAATTTTAATAGAATTCATTTACAAATTTACACTTATTTTAACTAGAAGATTGATGAAAACACTCCTTAAAATAATAAAAAGTGATCAAATATAGAATTCTATGTGGAATTGGAACTGTAGATTTCAAAATTCATTTGGTGGAACTTGAAATATATTGTTCTATCTCCACATGGAGTTCTATATGTGGTCAATATTTTGGTATTTCTAGTAAAAATTACTTGATATAATTTTTATTCTTGAAATCTTGTGGCTTGTGGAAATCTTCTTTCTAAAAAGTCTTCGGTATTTGTTGGAGCACTCATGATGTTTCTTGAATGTTTGGAGGCGCAGATTTAAATTTCTTGAAAACTTCAGTCCTCTTAAACACTTGAAGTTTGATTTTTCTTTTCCACTAAGAGCACTTTCTACATATTTCTTTAACATAGTTAATAGGTTTAAAGCTTAGTTTATAAAAAATAAATCATTTTTCTAAAGACAGGATCAGAAGTAGAACTCAAACTCAACCATCTGCTCGACTAAGAAATGTCATTTCATTTGAATTACGTGCTCCTAATACTAATAAGTTACTTTGAATTTAATATAAGCTTGCAAATATTACTAATACAATATAGTAAGTTTGTCATCAAAATCAATCATTTAGGCCCATAATACTGGAGATTGTATATTTTTGTTGGAGACTGCATCTGTGTATTTTCTATTTGACTTGCTTATCTCAAATATTGATCTGTGAATTGCTTCTTGGCAGATTAGAATTGATGGTCAAGACACACGAGAAGTAACACTGGACAGTCTTCGGAAGTCTGTTGGTGTTGTGCCACAGGATACAGTAAGTTTTAACAGGAAATCTCATGTTAACTATCCTCTTCTGCTCCAATGTAAGTTCAATAATCCCTGTTTGATTTACAACATCCATAAAAACTTTGCTCAACTGGCAGGTACTTTTTAATGATACAATATTTCACAATATCCACTATGGGTGTCTGTCTGCTACAAAAGAGGAGGTGTGAGAGCTTCTGATTTTAAATCACAGCTGGCAATACCAATTCTTTCAGTCTAATATTTCTTTCTGTTCAGGTGTATGATGCTGCTCGACGAGCAGCAATTCATGAAACTATTATGAATTTCCCTGATAAATATTCTACTGTGGTCGGAGAACGAGGACTCAAGGTGAGTCACCTGTTTGGATTTTGGATTTTGTGTTGCAAGCAAATTATGATGGCATCTAATCATGAACCATGCTAATGATCATTCTAAAAATAATCTATTAATGAATACAATTTAACACATCTGATACTGAAAAAAGGCAAATAATAAAATTACTGTTACATGTTGATAATGGTTAATGGTCACAACCTACAACTAGGGGTTCAGCCATACAGAACAGTCAGATGCATGAGGTTGTCTTGGGCTATATTTGGAACGTATTCATAAATGATGTGGAATTCATCTGTAAATCCACACTTAGTTTAAGTAGGAGAGTATGTAAATTATATTAGAATGACAAAAATTGAGTATATTTAGAATTCTATGACATTCCAAATTTCATCAAATAGAGTTTATATGGAATTCCATATGGAACTGGAACAATATATTCCAAATTTCGTCAGCAATGATGAAATTTGGAATCTATTTTTTCAATTCTATGTGGAACTCCATATACACTCTATTTTTTTGTCATTCTCCTAATTAAACTAAGTTTTTTATCATTTTGGACAAGACTTTCATAATCTTCTAATTGAAATAACTGTGGAGTTATAAATGAATGCTAAACAAATTTTGTATTTGTTCCAAACATAACCTTAATATTTCATTGAAATGCTAATACTTAATCAAAATATTGGCAAGTTTTATTATAAAATAAAACTATAAAGTAGTCCATAAGTTCATTTTACATCTTATGTGAAACAAGATGAATAAAATATGTAATGTATTATTCGATCCGGTTTGACCAAATGAAACGAGCACTATAATGTTCAAGTTCCCGAGTCATGCTTTGATATTGAACAATTGAACCATGCTAATTAGGTATCTTGAAGCTGATTCAATTGATATTCATTATTCTTCAATGGAGCAAACTATA